TTTTTGCCAATCTAGCCGGCCGGCCCAAAAAGTTCTGGCAACACTGAAGACGAGACGTAAATTTTTGCTAAAACTGTTGTATTGCCTCTACTAATAATATGTATGTACATTGTATGTACCAAAACGCCTATGCGTCCTTCTTACCTACGGCGACCACACAGGCGCAACATACTTCATAACCGGCCGCCCGCTCGCCTTGTAGTTATGTTTTCAACAGTGATGTCGCCTAAAGGTAGCTCATATTCTTGGAATAGTTGTAGCATACGGACAGCTTACATTTAACTTTACCTCATACCCTCAGTTTGTAGAAACGGTTGTTGATTTCATGGGGAAAGTTTTATAGCCTTATTCTGTATCACGAACGATTCGTCTGCAGAGGAATGTTATCCCCCAATTCTGTGCACCTGACAAATAATAAACCTTGACCATTTGTCAATAAATTTGCGCCTAAAACTACGCCGATAAGATTTGTCTGTATTTGCTAAATTTGTTTTGCATTTTATAAGCGCCTAGAACTAAATTTTTGCAGCATAATTTAGGAACAAATTTATTGACAAATAGTCAAGCTTGACAATTGGTCAAGTGCACAGAATTGGGGGGGGGGGGGGGTTAGAGTTTTATATAAAATCAATAAAAAATTAACCAATGAAAAGAATAGGGAAACTGGCCAAAATGTCTCACTGCCATTGTTTCACATATACCCACCAAACAATTTTTGTTGTCGGGGCAATAAGAAAACGTGTCGCGCTCGGAAACAAATTTATTGCCGGTAATATCGCCATCGTATCGATTTCCTATTACCAGTCGTTCCAAAACGTCCGCCGAAGGCAATTCGCCTGGGCGAGTCGTTTTCTTATTACCTGAATAAGTCGTTTTCTTATCGCTTCAGGAGATATTTGGAATAATTTTTAATACTTCATTTATTTTTTGTATACAAAATTGGAATTTAGAAACGGAATTATTTCTTCCTTTCGCTAAACGCTTTTGGATAATACTGTTGACGCGAAGATTATAAGTTTGGGAATTTTTGATAACTTATTAATCCGAAATTGACATAAAAGAAATGATGTTGCCGATTTGTCACCACGGCAATAAATCGGTTAGGCGCTGATTGGTTGCCATTGCCGATTGTTGCCTATTTCTCATGTTTTGCATGGTGGGTACTGTGATATTTTACTATGAATTTATGTAACTACTAGCAGACCCGGCGAACTTCATCCCGCCCAACATTTTTTTGTATTGAAACATTTTCGTCCAACATTTTCACTAACAGTTCACGTTCATGATTTTCAGTGACGTATTTATCTTCTAATGTTGTTGTTGTTGTATGGGCTACAACAACCCCGCCCAGATCGGTTAATATCTCAGTCGTTGTCGTCAAGTTCCACTAACGGCAGCCCTAAGAAGCGTGCAGCCTCAATAGGGTCGGTCCACAGAGACAAAGGCGTTAGGGTTGTCGGGTTTTCCGGGCATACGAAGAGATGTTTCCAGTCATGAGGTGTCTTTCCGCATGCCGGACACTCATTTCGTACATCTGCGTTTAGTCTGCTCAGGTATGAGTTTAACCTGCTGCAGTAGCCAGAGTGAAGTTGGGCTATTGTGGCACGAGAAGTTCCGTCTCGTCAATGTCTTCGGCTGTGTGTCTAGAACGGCATTCACGGCTCTGGAGTCTTCATAACTCGAGACTGACTCCCTGTGAATGCCGTTCTGGGCCTGTCGATAAGCTGACGGAAATATACAAACTAAAAACCTTCGACGGCAAAATAATAAACGAACAAACAAATACCGCATCGGATGTTATATTCGAACCCTTAAAATTGATTTACGAAAAAAAAGAAAAATGACAACAAAACAACAGGCATGGACACTCCGAACACACCAAAAAGCACCACCAGGGCAAAAATCACTGACTTTTACCTACCTGCAGGCAAAAACCATACAGCGACAACATAATGGATGTTAATATCGAAACAGCGAAGATGAACCTATTACCTGCTTCAAAAAAATGGGCACCATGGCATATCTAGTAATTAATCATCGACGAAAATCACATTACCTAAGATAAATGAACATAAATTAGGGACAAATCTCGGACCAGACAGAACGAAAAATGACACTGAAGATGGCACAACGCCGAAACCGGTTTGTCTGCAAACCAAACTTGACAAGGGATGACGGAAATTCGTTCCAAAATAAATCATCTTACCACCCTGTCGGAAAAATCAACCAACACCAAGGCCCAAAGGTTCTTTAATGAACCTCTAAACTATTTATCTTCTAATATTACGGTTTGGTAGTTGTCAGAAGGCATATTTCGGGAAAAAGTGTATACGCATACAAAGATACGTAATAGCTTCAGTGCGCTTGAAAGGCGCCACGCCCCTTTTCAAATAGCCCCAATTTATGTATGGGATTGATTTCATATATCTCCATACCATGTTCGAGTACTCTACCATGAACACTTGCAGAAATATGCAGTGTGAAAAATTCGGTTTGTATGGGAGGTGCAACGCCCCCTTTTCCAAAAACTGCAATTTTTTTTCCATGAATATGAAATATACTTAACATCCGAATCTCATACATACCATATATGCACAAATAACTTTCATAAAGATCGGTCCAGCCGTTTAGGAGGAGTTCGACCACAAAAACCGTGACACGAGATTTTCATATATACATATATATATAAAGCAATTTAAATTTTGTGGCAGTTTCATCTTCTTTTCGGCACTATTTTTGAATACCGTTCTTCACCGTCGATATTGCGAGCGTGATAATGGTGATGGCTTATGGTTCATCACGCACCACACCGTGCAGTATTGTCTTATAGAAGCAGACATCGATCGCAGGGATACTATCCTAGAAAGTCAGGGTGTTGCTATCCGGTCTGGCAAGCTCGAAATATTTAACGTTTATATACCCTCTGTCACCAGCTTGCCGGCAGGACATCACCCTGAAATAGGTGCGCTCCTCACAGCTCTAAATCGTATGGTAGTTGGTGACTTCAACGCACGACGATCTTTGGCATTGAAACCCGTCGAATGATCGACACTTGGTTGAGCTGGGCAGCTCTAGCAGATAGCCGGACATAACAATTGTAAGCGCTGGTCTGATAAACCATCTGCCATAGTTATCTCGACCGATAAACCTGCTGACTTTGTTACCGCAGAATACCGAACCTACGCCAACTTTACCAAAGCTGATAGAAAAGGCTTTGGGGGAAGTTACTAAAATCTCCTTTTCTGCCCTTCCCACAAGATGTTCACGCAGGAGAGCGTTTATTCTGCTGAGTTGTCACTTCTGCTACAGCTCGCTTCATTCCCGCTGGATGCCTTTCAGACCCCTGTTCGATATTCTCAGCGGAAGCGGTGGTCCAAGCCGATGAGCGCGGCAATCTTCGTCCGGACGATTCCAGAAAGCCCCGTATTAGGGTTCTCAACACGAAGATTTGGCAACTTTTAACGTACATAAGCGGAAGAAGTAGGAGGGGCATCTGAAGACTTGCAACTTCACCTATGGTGTACGTAGGCTTTGGTCAGCCGTGAGGTCACTATTTAACCCGACGAGGCGCGACGACAGAGTGGAAATCTCTTTCGGCGAACGCGCTTCGTCGGATCCGGAGCAATTCGTCAGTTATTTTAGCCGACAGCTCACACTGCATCCTCCGGACAAAGCCAAACGTCGAGTGACCAGAAGGCTGCACAATCCGCCAACACCCAGCACGCTTTTTGCTTTCACCATTGGTGAGGTTCAAAGCCATAGGACCTGACGAAATATGCATGCTGATGCTGAAAAAATTGGGTCCTACGGGATTAGACTACCTCACCAAGGTCCTCAAACTCCATGGCTACTATCATAATTATGGCTATCTGGAAATGGAGGGAGTAGTCCCATTGCTTAAACCAGGGAATCCGCCTAACAAACTATAGCCTTTTCGTTCGATAACACTCCTTTCCCCAGTAGCGAAGACATTTCAGGTCTTGCTACTCCCGCACTATGTGAACTACCTGACCCCAGCGAGGCATCAGCCTGGATTCCGATAAGTGCACAGCACAACAACAGCACTTATCGCCGTAAATACTCAGATAACTCGTGGCCTGAACCGAAACCGACCCTGTGAGAGAACATTATTCGTAGCATGGGATCTGTCGAAGGTATTTCACATTGATGCTACCTCTCTCACACAGGGACGCAAACGGTGGTCAGCAAATTATCTCAGTGGTCGATATTCGTCAGCAATTCAGAGACAAAACCAGCAAACCAAAGAAAATTAAACAGGGGGTTCCACAGGGTGATGCCCTTTCTCCGCTACTGTTCAACAATATATTTCTAAGAACCCTCAACCACCAGAGGGTGTCTCGACTGTCTCTTATGCTGACGACTGCTCGAAAATAAACGGTTACCTCTCCGAACTTTCTCACTTCTACTCTGCAAGGAGCCTAACCCCTCTCATTTTTACCACCTGGACGAAGGGGGTCGGACTACAGCTGGGAATTCACGTTGATGGTGAACCAACTCCGATTGTGAATAAGCCAAAAATTCTCGGAGTTACCTTCGATAAACTGCTGTAAGCAATTCCTGGTGGAGAATCACAGACACTTGCACTAAATTTTTAACCAACTTCCCGATGAGCTAGAGACTATAAACTTCAAACCTAGCTCAGAATCTGATGACAATGCAATATGAAGGATAAATTAGTCCGCTCGGTAACGCAAAAGTCAATATATTTTTCTAATCGACCGTTCTAAATTATTTCGCTCAACGTAAACTGTGAAATTTTTGGGCAAATCTTTTGAAGGCGCTGGGCCGATGCCCCGTCGGCCGATGCCCTTTATCCCGCGCTGCTCATACTGTCAGATTTGGCTGATTACGCATTGTACTGTTAGGTTTTTATGTTGTATACTTTTTGGTCACACTGCTTAGAGAATTTATGCTACGAGAAACGAGTTTAGCGATTATCAGAATCCCGCTGCAGAAAGCTTAATTGAAAGATCATTGTATATTGTTTTTTCCTTTTCTCGAAAATGCAGCTTTTATTCAAATTTTCCTTTTAATCAAATACAGAAAGTTTTGAGTTCGTTTTACAAATCTCTGAACTTCGTAGTACAAACTTTAACTTCGAGAAAAGTTTTATATATGTTTTTTTTCCTGTAGTATCTATGTAAATAATAATAATTATATAATTA